AACAAGAAAAAGAATGTAGACAAAGAGCAATATAAATAATATATATATTTATAATATATATATAATATATATAATCTCCTTCTTTCTCACTCCTTCTCTCTCTCTTAGATATACACATAAACATATACTTTGAAGAACATCTAAATAAAGAGTTGTTGACATGTCATATGTCTGTATTTTTGTCTGCAAATAATTTCTGTCTCTTTTCCTAGTAATAGAGCCTAGGATAAGTCAGAACCTCTCAGAACATTCTCTCTACTTTCAGATACTTTAAAGAAAAATACCAGTATGAACTATGCAAAGTTTGCATTATGCACAACAGCCAGGCCAATGTCAGAAGACGGAGCACCGTAAAGAACCACATTCGATTTAACTTAGTCTTACCTAAAGAAAACGAATCATGCTGAAATTTTAAAAATAACTTCTATACATTAAATTGTTGCCTCTTCTTGGGCTTTAAAATGTGCTGATTATGGGCTAACATTTGTCCCTGGGGTCTGTGCACACAGGATTCTAATTAGGAGTCTTTTCCATATCATCTTGGCAAATGGGGACCCCTCTTGATGTTTGCTCCAGAATCGGTTTATCTTGGTTTCATAGACTGTTCCTCTCTGTATCAGGATTCTCTTCCATTTTTCCTAGTTTTTTTTTATCAATATATTTTTAAGTAGGCAGAAAAAGAGGAGTAAGAAATCCATCACTTTCTAACAGCTAGAAATCATGATCCAGTTTACTATCCTTCCATTATTTAAGAAAAAAATATGTTCCTGTTTGAAAGGAACAGAGGCAAGGAAAATTAGACACGTATGTGTGAAACAAAGAAATGCTCATTTGACTGATGAATTACTGGTTCTAATTAGTTTTGCTTTACAAAGAGATAATGCATTTTATTCTTAGGAGGTGGTAACCTACTCTTCATTTTAAAAAATAGAAAGACCATTGCATCCTGTGTTGTGATACTCCACTGGAGCACATGTTCCCCCAGGGTGGGGGCTGTATCATTATATCTCATTATGCTCGGCAATGCTATGCTTATAGTAAGAAGTTAATAAATGCTTATTGAATGAATGAATAAACCACTGTATCCAAAGAAAGGCTTGAATAAAGCAGTAAAAAAAAAAAGCACTTTGGTAGGCAGTTTGCAAAGTGTAATAAATGGCTGCCTAAATAAGAGTTGCACATTCCCAGGGAAGAAACATCCATGTTTACATTAAGGGATTGAATATTTCATATCTAATAATATAGTTATAAATCAAGTGACTGGAAAAAACATTTATAAAAACAATCTATCCCCCATATTTGTTTTATTTTCTTCATTAATTTCTTTATGCATACCCTACCTTGTTTCACAACAAATTTAGTACAAAAAGTTATAAATCCAGATAAGATTTATGCACACAAATGCATGCTTTCCATGCTGCCTGGTTGCATGGTTCATATTTTAGGAGGTCACACCATGAGACTCACTGAATGAAAGGAGCTATTTTATCACTAAATTATAGTCCATTTGCAAACCATTTTCTACCTGTAGCATTACTTTTCTAACCAGCTATTTATAAAATCTGCTGTTGGTTATTCTGGCAAGAGAGAGCATGATAAAAAGAGCTAAAAACACATACACACAGAGGTGCTTATATTACTCAGATGATAATGAAAGACCCCTGGATGCTGCCTTCTCATTGATTAATATTTGGGTGCCTCGTTGTTGGTTTCCCACTCTACTAACAAGCTCGGTTTGAAAGGCATATGCAGACAAGGGAATGCTTACCCATTGCTGCTGCTTGTAAATTGGTACAAGCACATTGGAGATCTATCCAATAATATCTGGAAAAGATGAAAACCTTCACATCCCATAAGCCAGCATTTTCCTTCCCAGATATGACCTTCAAAGGACGGCCACACATGTGCACAAGAACCATTGCTGTATGAATGGAAACAATCTAAGTGTCCATTAGAAGGTCAATGACCCGGAATTGCATTTATTATATTCATACAATGTAATAACCTGCAGCGGCTGAAACAAGTGCAATTCAGTGCATTACCATGAATTTTAAAACAATGTAATTTCAAGTGAATAAAATATTTTTTAGAGTTTTACCTAAATAATATTTATATAAATCAAGAAAAACCAATAATTCTTTCCCATTCCATATATATATAATTAAATAAGTATATATATAATAAGTATATATAATTAAATAATTATATATGTTTAATTACATAGATAATTAAATAAGTATATATATTTAATTATATATGGAGATATATAGTTATATATGAAGTACATGTATATATAATTTTTAGAAACACATAATTTTATAGTAAAACCAAAGGCAAAATAACGATAAAACTATTTAAATATTCCTAAGACTAGTGCATCCCTATCTTTGATCCTTTATCCTGCCCAGATCTGTAGGCTAACATCTTACTCCATTCTCCATCCCAGCCCCAGAGGATGCCATTGGGAACTCATTGCTATTGTTGTTTTGTTTTATAACAGGTATTGCTCTTTAGATTTAAATACATTGGCAGTCTCTTCCTTTGTACTAAGAGAGACTATTTTGATGAGCCTCTTCAGTCATGAAAACTTAAGTCAAATATCTAACCAATAATTAAATAAGAGAGCAGTTCTGGATGACGGTGCAATAGTGAATGAATAGACCTTCAGAAACAGCGATGGCCTGCCCTGCAAAAAGGCCAGGGGCTGGAGGTGATTCTGCTGACATTACGATGAAATGTTTCTTATTTCCTCCTGGCTAAAACTGAAGACAGTGAGGATACAGGGGCCCCTCTTTCAGAAGGGATGAGAACGGGCAAAGCAGAACCTCCGAAGGAATGAGCACGCCCAGCAGCAGAGCGAGGCTCAGCGGGGAGCCAGGGAGCTGGAAGTTGCGAGCTCCTGCAACGGGGCAGGTCCAGTGATGCTCATGTGCCAGTTTCCTCTCATGCTGCATTCCCGCTGTGCTACCTTCAAGCCCTGGGTATGCCTGTTAGACACACCCGCCTGTATGGCTATGTTTCCTGGAATCTAGGAAGCGGACCAGAAACCTGCAACCTGATGGCCAAGTGAAACTGACACTGACGCTGCTTGAAGAGTCTAGGGCTTCCCAGGCAGAGCTGAGGATGCTGTGCTGGTTTTGCGGGAGCGGTGGTCCTGGTTCTCCCGGGGAGGCAGGAGGTGTTCGGAGAGGACCGCGAGGACGACAGGCAGCAGCCACAGCAGCAGGAGGGGAGGGCAGGCCGCTCCTGGAGAAGCGGGGGCTGCAGGACACACGCTAACAGGACACGCGAGCATCCAGAAATCCACGGAGGAACCTCTGCAGCCTCTCGTTGAGAAAGGCTGGCAAACAGAAAGGAGTGAGGGAAGGGGAGATGCCGCCCCAGGCTGGTACCTGCTGGGCCTTTGGCAGGAGGAGGGAGAAAGCATGAATAAGGAAGGGGCGGTGTCCACTTCTCGGTGACATGGCCGGAATGTCCCCTGCAGGTGTGAGTCAGAGATCCCATCAGCCAGTCATTTGGCCCCTACAGGTACATAGACCGTTGGCTTTGTACAGGTCAAAACATACGTTTAATTCCCTTAGATTTTTATTTTTAATTTTAAAATGGGTGCTCTATCAAAGGTGGGGACAGGGTGAGGAGGGAGGGGAGGGGGGAATCAGTGGAAGAAAAAGGAGAAACATCTGTGACAAAAATAAATTAATTAATTAAAAATAAAATATCATATAAAAATAAATAAATACATAAATACCCCCCCAAAAAAAAATCAAAATTAACTGCCATGATGGACATAATTTAAAATATCAGGTCTGATAATATTGACAACAACTTAGTTTCTTTATCATAAAGTGTTTCAAAATGCCCATGCCAAACATTACGAAATTTAGCAAACATATACTTTAATTTAAAATCACTGATCATGTTTCTACACCTTTTCTGCAGCTCAAATAACAGCAGCTCTTTTTTATCCCGAACACTTCAAAACAAGAAGAAGAAGAAGAGATCTCTCTTTGCCAAATGAAAAGAACCGAGATGTTTGGCTGTCTACAACCTGTGAGGCTGGCTTGATACTGTTTCATCTTTCCTTATGCCTTCTCGGGCTGCTTAAGCACTGTTAGAAGTAGACAGTGTTGCTGGTAATGCAGGATACCCGGCAAGTTCAACCTTTGCAAAGTGTGCTGTCCAGGCCATTCACTTGGAAAGCAAAGTTTCCGTGGTCCCCTGGTCAGTGGCACTTAGAAATGTGAGCTGTCTAATGAAGGTTTCGATGCTTTTCCTCCCCTCCGTGCAATGCAGTGAAATGTCACCTGCACGTGTCACTGAGCTGCAACATTATCGAAGGTTCGTATTTTCAAATGCCTCTGATTCATCAAATCCAATTAAAAATGAAAATAAAGATGTATTTATGTACAGAAATAGGAAGGGATACATGCTCTTTTTGTTTTGGGGGGAGAGAGTGGGTAGAAATCTTGAGAGAAAAATAAGAAAGTTGATGTTCAAATCATTTTCAAGATATAAAGAAATGTATTTAGAATTGTCAGAAACTTACACATGAGAGAATATTTTATCATAGACTCTGGCACGGGAGATTTCTAGAAACCAGAAAAAATAGAGTATGTCTAATGTATAGTGGATGCAAATGTATATATTCCAAGTAATACACACACAAAACTATGAGGAAAGAAGACTTTTAAAATGAGTGTTATGTATTTTTCTTTCTGGTTTTTATATATTTTTAAATTGTTCCTTCAGCCACTAAGTGATATGATGGTTTCTGAGTAGTGTTTACCTTTCGTGGTAGCTTCGTCTTCCCCTGTTCAAAGTGACGAAATCCAGCTCTCTGGAAACTGAGCAAGGCGCTCCCTTCCTCTGTTATTTGTAAGCTGACATGAAGCAGACAGACACCTTCTGAACTTTTCTTCATGCTGTGTTTCTCTCTTTGCTGCAACAAGAGAAGCCTTTTCTTTCAACCAGGCTGTCTTTGAAGTGACTCAGAAATCTTCATGGCCTCCAAAGGTAAGAGTAATGGAGCCGGCTAATAACTTTTTCTTTATATTTTGACTAAAAAGCTAGAGATTGATACTTTAAAACCTGCCATTTGCCTCTTTTAAACGTTTTTACGTGTTAACTCGAAGGAGCATGGTGAATTAAATTTTTAAAAACTCTCTATTCGGTAGAATGTGAAACTTAAGCTCTAAACGGTGTCTTGTTTATCATAAATGTAAGCGTAGGGAATTGATAAGAAAAGCTTCCTAGCAAAATTTAGAATGGGAATGTTTAACGCCAGGCACAAGGACAGATTGATCTTCCAAGTTTAAAGGGATTTGAAGAAAACTTTTCACACAAAGGTGAACAAGTGTTGAGGTACAGTTCAGAATTCTTAAATTTTCCATTTCTTGTGTAAAGCACATGGTGCTGTCATTTATTATAATGAATTCAACATGTGTTATTGGTAAATCTTAAAATTTTAATGGACAAGAAATAAATATTGCTAAACTATGAAGCAAACCTCTTTCAAATTTTCTTCAACAGTAAGTTACATATATAAGCAAAACATAACTAATTTAAGCAAGCAGATTGATTAGGCACTGGAGGGGGAGCTGTTAAGTTTGTCCTCAAATCCCTGAAATTATATAAATATCATTAGCGTTGTTTAACTTTTCTTACTACAAAGAACTTCTCAAAAAGATGAGATGTGGTTGTGTTTTAAGGTAATGGATTGCAACCCTACTAAAAACACTTGTGAAATTATATAAAAATGAAATTGAAATGTGTTTCCATTCCATTATTAGAAAAATCTATTAAATGCTAAGCTATAATAAAAAGTTTTATCATAAAGAATTATGATTAGTAATTAGTGGAAACCTAACCTAATTACAAATAGGATAATAGAGTCCACCAATTTAAAATGTCCTAAATTAAATTAATGAGTTATTCAAAGAAATGTGTATATGTCTTTGCTTCTTTTATCAAAATACACTTTGGATGTTATTTAACATGGAATAAGTAAGGTACCCTTTTATTTTTCATCAACATTTAATGTATACCAGTCCCTGAGTATCATTGGAAAAGCTCAAATAAATTGTAAATTATAGACATGAAACATCAAAATCATTTCTTTTAATATGTGCTTCATGTTTATACTGAAGACATACAAAAAAAATATTGACGAGTCTTTTCTTTCATTTAAGACTAACACTGAGACTTAGTTCAAAACACTTCATCGCTTTATAAAATAAGAGTTTGAGAACAACTATAGCCTGTAAGGTAAAGAGTTGCAGAGTACTTGAAATATTTATAAGCTAGTTATACATTTTTAAAACAGTAGATAGAAATTCAAAGCCAGATGGAAATTCAAAGGAGTTTCTTCTTTATCTGGTGGTCTGAGTCTTTGAAGAAACTGTGACTAGAAAGCAATACTCTGATCAAAATATGAGGGACCGACCAAGAAAGCAGTGATGTTCATTAAGGATGAATATTCAACACTAAACTTAGAGGCAAAACTTCTGGAGAAAAGCTAACACTCCTGCAACCTACTCAAAATAACACATGAAGTGGGTAAAACATCTGTTAGAGGCCGTAGACTACTTAAAAGGAAAAATGAAGCATCCTTTTGAATTAGAAATCATGTTTGAGGTGGCAAGTTGAATTATCATCATTATTTACTTAAACATTTTTATGGACAGTTTTCTTCAGATATATTTAAAGATATTATTTGTAACATCATGAATGTTCTCTGGCCTGTGAAAATATATCGGCAACAATCATTTCCCCAGGGAACAGAGGCTGATTAGACATTTCACACATTTTGTAGGCAGTTCAATTGGCATCACTAAACCAAAGAGCAGTCTGAATAGTAGACGTCATTAGCACCGTAAAAAAATGTTTGTATAGCCCTGGCCGGTTTGGCTCAGCGGTTGGAGTGATGGCCTGCAGACCAGAGGGTCCCAGGTTCAGTTCCCACTAGGGGTATGTACCAAAATATACATATATATATATATATATATATATATTCACACACACACACACACACCACATACATACTTGTATGGCCTGCAGTCACCTGTTAGAGTAAATAAACACAATTTAAGAACAGGTTGGTACCAAACTTTGTTTTTAAGTTTGAGAAAAACACATTTTCCAGGATAATCAAACCTGAACAGAGTTCTCTCTAAAGGCTGCTCCAATGTGAACTGACATTTCAGAAGAGGAGGCGAGTGACTTCAGAATGGAGATCCCAAGTCTCTGCCTACGAAGCTACTCATCAGTACTTTGGACATGATCTGCTCTGGGCCCCAAGTGTATGCATTCCTCTGGACCTGCTGTGAGGTCTAAGAACCTTTAAAGACCTGGTCAGGAATATAGAGCCACTGGCCAGACACTCAGTAACATACTGCGTTTTGTTACAGCAGACATAGGTTACGTGATACAATCAGAGTAATTTGCTAATCTTTTTTACAGTAAAATTGCCAATGAGAGAGAATCTAATCATCTTCTACCAGCTATTATTGGAAATCGATTCCTATACATGTGATTTTTTAATTGAAGGACACAGTGCCTGATGGGCACCCAACTTAAGCTCTACGATTTTTAAATAAAGGTGCATTTGTGCAACTACCACCAAGATCGAGATAGAGAATGTTTCTGGCACCTCACAGAATTCGCTTTCCAGTCAATAGCCATGTGCCTCTACTTCCAAAAAGAAGCACTATTCTGAATTTTATCTTCATGAACTAGTTTTCCCTAGATTACGATTTTGCCTGTATGTTTCTCTGAAAGTCAATGACAACGGTATTTGGGGCACTAATGCTGAAGAAAAGATATCTGTTGCCTGTTATTCTCCTGTTGTTATTGCTATACTGGCCATTAGCTCCCTCCCAAATCCGACCCGGTGCTACACAGTCTTCCTCTCAGGTTGCCTTTTGGGGTCCCATGCAGCCTCCTTCTCAAGAGCAAGGGGACTTGGTTCTAAAACCTCTGTCCTCTGCCCAGATCTGAGAGTTCAGGATGGGGTCCTGGTGGGAAGCAAACTGCTATGTTATGGGTATGGGTCTGTTTTACTAGGGCCAAATGAAAAGTTTGTCTCCATACGGTCTTAAGCTTGAAGCTTGTCCAAATTCGAAATGCCACAGAGCAGTGCAAATGGCCATCTGTTTTTGTCTATCCCTGCTATTTTAAGATTAAATAAATAAATAAAGGAGTCATCTGCTATTGTTCCTCATTAACACCATATCTACACACAGCTGTAATGACGCACCATTGACTAGAAACAGTTTATCTCCGTGTCCAAAGGACCATTCCTTTTATGCCTATGTTTCCTCACCTTTAAAAAAAAATCCCTAAGTGCTCATCCTGGCTATACTTGAATTCTCCTAATGAGGAACTCAGTATCTGCAAAGACAACTCGGTCCTTTTCCAACTTTATGTTTTAGAGATTTAAAAAGTTTCAGAAAAATACTCTCCCACACACATCCCCAGCTTTGAGCGTGTCAGTGCCGAAGAGACCATTCTAATTTATTATGAATTACACAGATGTCACTCTCGCTTTAGTGTGTATACAAGAATACTTGTTCAAATCTTTGTACAGTTGTAACAAATTATTACCATTTTTTTTGTCCTTCCCATTCAGCTGTCTTCAGAAGAGTCGGAATTATTTGTCTATATAATGGCTCTTCTAATATTTGAAAGGACCTGTCACGAATCTTACTAGACACGTACACTGATTCTAAAACTTCATAGTGTTGGTTAAATAAATGCTCATGTGAGAGCTTGCTAATTAATGGATTAATAAAATGAGAAGTAAAAACACTGATAGTTTTTTTGGGGAAGAAAATGGTATCTATTGAGGGAGGTATCCAAATGGCAGTCATGTAAAAAAAAGAAAAAAATAATAGTAGAAAGAGTATTATTTAACAAAGAATACTTTTGCATGCACTACTTACTAAGGCTTATACATAATTTTACACAGGCTCCAGACTAATTTAGAGTAAATAGCAAATCTCCAAATTTCAGTCTAAGAGATCATTGATATAAAAATACTCTTACCTAGCAATAATAATAACAATAATAAAAAAAAAGTGATCTTTTTTTTAAAGAAGCCAAACATTATGGAAATTTGTAATTATTTTTCTTTTGTAATATTGAGTTAGCTACAAAGTGATTCATATTGTCCAAAAACATGTTAGCCCTGGCTGCGTAGTGCAGTTGGTTGGAGCATCTTCCTGATAAACCAAAGTTGCAGAGTTGACCCCTGGTCAGCACACATACAAATTAATTAAATGCATCAATAGGTGAAACAACAAATTGATCTCTCTCTCTCTCTAAATCAATAATTTTTTAAATTATTAATGCTTTTATATAAAATATTGAGAAACCTAAGTTTAATTAGATATAATATTGCCCTTAAGAAGCTCATAAATTAGTTATGGGTATTCTCATAGTATGTATAATTAAACCATTAGTTCTCAAAGTATATAATCAGACCAGCATCATTATCTTACCTGGGAACTTATTAGAAATGGAAATTTCCAAGCGCCACCCCCCACCCCAACTACTAAACCCGAAACTCTAGAGTGGGGCCCAGAAATCTTGTTTTAACGGGCGCTCCAGGTGGTTCTGGTGCAGGCTAAAGAATACCAACCACTGGTCGTCACAGTGTGAGTGATGAGGACACAAAGTATTCTTGGGAATTATGAGGCACCCTCGTAATATGCGGGGAAGGGAGAAGATGCCTTGAAAATCATAATTATGATTCAGGACCTGTGTCTGAGGTTATCCTTTCATGAGTAGGAAATATTTAGTCCCTTTTACCATTTCTTTTCCTTTCTTAGTTTATACTTTTTTTAGCTCTTTTGACAGAGGTTTTTCAGTCTTCAAAAAATATATTTTCTAAACTCATGTACTTTGCCCAAATTATCCAGCTTTTTCTCACAACGACTACTACCAATCTTCTACATTCATTTTCTCTGGTTTCAGGGTCAAGTGGTGGTGACAGTAACTAGGAGGAAATGAAGTAAAGGGCAGTAGGAGAGAATCTACCCACTGAATTAAGAAGTAACAAATAGCCCTGGCCAGTTTGGCTCAGTGGTTAGAGCGTCGGCCTGCGGTCCGGAGAGACCCGGGTTCGGTTCCCGCTAAGGGCACGTACTTCGGTTGCAGTTTGTCCCCGGCCCTGGTTGGTCGTGCGGGTGGCAGCCACTCTATGTGTCCCTTCACGTCGATGTTTCTCTCTCTCCTTCCTCTCTCTCCCTCCCACTCTATCTGTACAAAAAATGGATCGGGTGAGGATAAAAAAAAAAAAAAGAAGTAACAAATAACCCGGCCAATGTGGCTCAGGGTTGAGCGTCGGCCCTGCACCAAGAGGCCGCCAGTTCGATTCCGGGCCAGGTTGTGGGCCGGATCCCCAGTGAGGGTCATGCAGGAGGCAGCCAATCAATGTTCTTTCTCATCAATGTTTCCATCTCTCCCTCTCCCTTCCTCTCTCCCTAGAAAAATCAATAAAGAAAAAAAGAGTCACAAATATAAGAAAAACTAAACCAATGGCCTGGATTTAGATATAATCTGGGATGTTTATTCTCTTGCAGATGCACAGAACCAACGAAGGAGAGGTCCGCCTGGTTTTCTTCCTGGAGCCTCAGACCCAGACCACAGCCTCCGCGTCCTGCCTTCCAGCCCAGAGACCCGAGCGCAGCAACCCGGTCACTCTCCGCCAGGCAGCCTCCCTCCTGGGCTAGAACACTTAAGCCAGGTGTTCTCAACTCACTATTTCTATACACGTTTTCCCTTAAAATAAATGCAAACATGGTTTCTTGCTTTTCAGCCAAGGCTGCAGAACTTCGACAAATAACTTACTGAAGTGAGAGTTGGATTATAAACCATAAACTTACTTTTAAAATTTTTTTTATGCATTTCTATTCTGAGGGAAGACATTTATGTTTACATTTATTACCACTTCTAGTTTCCTCATTTATTTGCAAAATAACAAGGCTGACCATTTTTGATTGAGCTATTTAGCACATTTGTCCTCCTGCTTATTGCTCAAGGTGTCAGCAAATTTATCCTCAAAGAACTGTCTAATACGTATGTCTAGACACCTACAGCTATTTCATTAAAGAATATTTATTAAGTACTTGCTAAACGCAATGCATATAAAAAGCATAAAACCTAGCCCTTTTACCCAAACATTCTGTAACTTAATTGGTAAGACAAAAAATGTTGATAAAAAGTGCCAGGCTGTGGACCAAAGCCAGATAAGCTCACGACTGTTACGTGTACAGGTACACAGAAGAGGAAAAGGTTGTTACACTCCATGAGAGGTTTCTGCAATGAATTGACAGGTGGATAGAAATCCAAGGGAAAGCAAACACCAAGTTGATAACATTGTCTTTGACATTGCTGCATCACCAGGCCAATTTGCCTGAAAAATCATATTATTATTAAATATAGTCACTAGTCATCATTGGAGGTTGGAGGGGAAGCAGTGATTCAAGCTTTAGAATAATTCAATCAAGAAATATCATCTGAGCTTTGTGACACATGAATAGCGATTATATTTTTATACATTGTTGCTTTGGTATTATATCCTACCAAAGATTAGAAATACACTAATATTGAGATGTCAGCACTTCTGCTGCAATTTTCAGCTTGTTTGGCATTCTTTCAAACTATAAAGTCTATCTCCTTTATCAAAATCAAATCTCTGTGTTAATTCCCTTAAGGTACAAGAGATTTCTGTTCTGCCTGATAGGGTTTAAGCTGCACACAGCATATGTTGCTGGGAAAATGTTTATAATTGCAGATGCTTTCTCCAGAAACCCACTGGCAGACAAATGTACTTTGGAGACTGGGGAGCTCAGGGAGATATGTAAAAGAGCTGGGAAAGCGAACCCACCATCTTCCATCTGCAGAAAGGATCAGCTGTAATAGCTGACTAGAGTTGATTAACTGCTGCAAGCTGTTTGGGAACATTGTCAGACAAGGTTTTGCCAAGGATAAGAGTGATATACCAGTGCCAGAGGGCTGAGGTTTGATGATCACATATGGTCATCACATATTCTTCTTCCATCCATGAATGATGACACACCCAGAGCCAGATGCTTGACATGAATACATTTTTTCTTCACATTTAATAAATAGAGGTATAAACTCATTGGCTTCAGTTCTAAAACGAAATCAATTTTCCAAGACTAAACCTTTGGTAATATTTTACAGGACACAAAAATGGTACAGCAAATTGGTGAATATTTTACTGCAAAGGTAAAGGTAATTTATTCACTTTATACTAAAAGAATACATTTGTTTTAAAGCAGTATACATATAACATATAACAGGATGAATGACCATTTTAAAAGCTTTATACCACATGTTTGTAAAAGACATATATAGAATGAATTTTTTTATACATTAACTTTTCTCTAAAAACCATAAGAATTAAGTAAAATTATGACCTTTTGGAAATAGTACATTATTCAATAAATAAATAGAAAAATATACCAAAAATACAAAATTTTCTAAATTAAGAAAAAAATCAAAGCAAAATTTTTTAAAATAATTTATTTTCTTTCAATCAAGTCTACCCAATCACTAGTAAAATTTTGTTTTTATTTACAATTTGTAAATAAATTCCCAGGTGTGTGTATATGTATGTTTTTTTCATGTAGGTTAAACCTAAGAATAGAACTAATAGCTTCTCTTTCCAGATTAGATTAAGAAGTTCATAATAGTCAAAGACATTTTATTCTATAAGTGTCAAAGGATAATTATTATAATTTAGTTCTTGTAGGTAAAAGTAGTGAGCTATAGTCTACAAAATATGTGTAAAGATTCAGTTTATTTTGAAGTGCAGTTGACCCTTGAACAACTCATAGGTTAGGGACACTGACCCCATGCATAGTCAAAAATCCACACATAACTTTTGAGTTTCTCAAAACTTAACTAATAGCCTTACTAAAAACACAGCAAATTAACAAAGATTGTGTTTTATATGTACTATAAACTGTATTTTTACAATAAAGTGAGCTAGAGAAAAAGAAATGCTATTTAAAAAATCATAAGGAAGAGAAAGTATATTAACAGTATTTATTGAAAAAAGATCTTCAGATAAGTGGACCCATGCAATTCAAACTCAGGTTGTTCAAAATCAACTGTACATATATTAAGTGCAATGACTGAGACCTGAAACCTGATACGTTGCAGAGAAGAATGTATTATTAAGCTATATATCCAAGGCTGTCATTAGACATCCGTGCTATAGCTTTCACATCTCAGAAGTGGTTTATTCGCCCTGACACCTGAATAGATGATTTGATGGAATTTAAAGTTTAAACTTTCCAGTTCCGAGCTCATCAAAGGATGGAAAGAGCCCATTTGGACCATGGTTGATAAGTGGCCAAGGACTAAAAGGAAACTATAAAAACAACCAAAAGGGAGACTCTCAAATGTAGGAGGTTTTCTCACAGAGGCAGATCAAATCAAACCAGATGCTATTCCAGAAGATGGGATGAATATACGAGTAGAGAAAATAGGGGTGATAGGTATTGAGAAGTTCCATAGTATACTTAAGAGTGGTTGCTCCCAGTTTCTAAGACTGCTTTAGTGTTGCCAGGGCACCATCGTGGAAGGTATGTCAAAATTGGCTACAGCACAGCCTGGACTCAAGTCCCAGCCAACTGCGGTTCTTAAGCAAACTCCTTACTCTGTCTGGGATTGTTTCCTCACATGTAAAACATATTGGTATCTATCTCTGAGTTCCTGCCCCCTATGCCTTCATTGCACTGATGTCTGTGTACATGGGTTATGCATTTATGCATATCAGTTCTTTGGTTAATCTCTTCTCACTCCCCACCCCATCTTCCCTCTGAGAATCATCAGTCTGATCCATGCTTTCATCTTTCTGGATCTATTTTGTACATCAGTTTATGGTTCATTAGATTCCATATATAAGTGAGATCATGTAATACTTGTCTTTCTCTGACTGGCTTGTTTCGCTTAGCATAATTCTCTCCAGGTCCCTCCATGCTGTATCAAAAGATAAGAGATCCTTCTTTTTGACAGCTGCATCGTATTCCACTGTGTAAATGTACTACAGTTTTTTAATTCACTCATCTACTGATGGGCACTTGGGGTTATTTCCAGATCATAGCTATTGTATAGTGCTGCTATGAATACAGGGGTACATACATTCTTTCTGACTAGTGTTCCAGGGTTCTTAGGATATATCCCTAGAAGTGGGATCACTTGGTTAAATGTTCTGCCTATTTTTCAATTGGATTGTTTGTTTTTTTATTGTTGAGGTGTATGAGTTCTTGATATATTTTGGATATTAACCCCTTGTTGGAACTGTAATTTGCAAATATCTTCTCACATTTGGTTGGTTCTAATTTTTTATTACCATAATTGTAAACGTAGGTATGAGAATATCTTAAATCATGTTATATTTCGGAAAATATTTTTTGTAAATATTTTCTTAATCTATCTTTATTGTTTAAAGTTTTACAAATGCCCCCTATTTTTCCCCTTTGACCTTTTCACCTCATACCTGCCCCACCCCCACCTCCAGACAGCCTTCGCTGCACTGTTATCTGTATCCATTGGTTATGCATATATGCATATAAGTTCTTTGGTTAATCTCTTCCCAATGCTCCCTTTCTTCTGAGGTTCATCAATCTGTTCTATGCTTCCTTGTCTCTGGATCTATTTTGTTCATCAGTATATTTTGTTCATTAGTTTCCACATATAAGTAAGATCATGATACTTGTCTTTTTTTGACTGGCTTATATTACTTAGCAAAATACTCTCCAGGCCCCTCTATGCTGTCTCCATCCTTCTTTCTTACAGGTGTATAGTACTTCATTGGGTAAATATACCATAGATTTTTATTCACTCATCTACTGATGGGCACTTGGACTATTTCCAGATCTTAGCTATTGTAAATAGCACTGCTATGAACATAGGGGTGCATATATTTCTGATTTTTTGTAAATCTTAAGAGGCTATTTGCACACTTTTAACAATAACAAGATTTGAATTAAAGAAATATTAGTTTAACTCCACCTCAGTATTTACAAGGAGAATGAAGGAAATAACATAATTTCCAATTTTCTGAGTTTGTGATGCCCACTCAATGCCAAATATCAGTCATGACTACTTCAGTTTAACAGTTATGTATGAGTTTACGAAAGTGGGAGGAGAATTAAGTAAATTTAAAGGCAAAATAAAAAATTAATTACTAGAAAAGATAAATGATCAGCATTATATTCAACGTTCATGACCTCAAGTACTAAATGTCAGATTTGAAATATATCCAAATGAAATTCATTCATTCTAAAAACATATTTTTAAAAACAGTTTGCATCATTGACTCTTTAATATAGTTCTTTCTCAATTGTGTGGGTAGTTCAGCCCTGTAAATTGACTTCCTTTCTAATTACATAAGGCAAATTCATGACTTTAGTGACCTAACTCTTATTCTGGTGAAACTGGTATTTTGTCAACATCGGCAGGATTTCTGTTTTTGTCTAGTCCAAAGGAAGGTGTGAATGATAAAATTGCCCCGAGTAAGCTCTTCATGCTGTGACAAAGAGGGTCCTCACTGAGCTATGCGTGACTGTGTGGGCAAGTTAGATGGAGTTGGGAGGACGGGCCCGACATTCAGATCCTCATTGTTTATTTCATTTCCTTATTTTCTAAAAAGGGAGATGACCTTTGAAACATTGTGGGCATTATTATTCAGAGATTGTTTTAAAATGTTCTCAAAATATCGTTTCCAACAGCTACTCTTTATCCCATTATCACAAAAAGAGAGCATAGTGAGTTCACCACAGTTCCTGTCTATCATCTGGGCAATTTGGCCTTGGAATTCTCAAGGTCCCTGTAACTTTATTTTCACTTGAATAAAAAAGTATTGTACTTTCCTTTTTATTATAAAATGTGAGCTGTATTAGCTGTTTTGATAATAGGGAACATGAAAATCACCTAATTTCATCTAGTCTAGTAAATAGGTTAATAATATCTCCAAAAGTTTTCAAAGTGTTGTGATGTGATATTTTTTATCTCTTTTATGTCGTCCTAAACAGTTAGACCTGATAATTATACACCAGCAGGTGGAGCTTCTCGGAAGTAAGTATATTCTCTACTTGTTAAAATTGTCGAAAATATATTAGGTTTCAGAAGTTTCTATACATCCAAATATTTTATAGAAAGTTAAGTTAAATGTTTAGAATACCTTTAGGTCAAAAGTAGTGCTGTTTTGTTTTATTTTTTAAAATAAACATTGAAAGTAAATTATTAGGCTGACATAAATAAACGTAAAAGCATAAAACTCTCCAAGTCTTTGGTAATATGGCCATTAGAAATCTAACATTATTTTTTATTTTAAAATAATAAAAAAGTGATAATTTTTATGGTTTCTAATATTTTAAATTTTTATTAATAATTCCAGAAAGGGAAATCAAGTTTGAGACTGAATTTTTAAAAAAATCATCAAAACAAAATTCCACTGCTTTATTATTTCATCAGTGATTCATCAAATGTGCAAAATATTTAACAATAAACAAATTTACAAGTATGACTAACAGAATACAAATTATTTGAGTATTTTTTGTTCTTAAAATACTATATTATTTCTAAAATATGCCAAAATTGAAATAGATAGCAGAATAGCATGCAGCTGTAAATATATTGTCAGATAGATATTTTAGACAAAATTCTTGCTATCATATGAGTTGTCCAGATACATTTTATATCAATGACAGAATTATTATTTGAGTGCAGTATTAGATTATTCTTTACAGCATTGCTTTCTTAGTTGAAAAGTGATATTGCATGTTTCCAAGTAGATCATGTATCTAAAATAAAAATGTATTTTTTAAAAATATGTTTTTATTGATTTTTTAGAGAGAGAGAGGACGGGAGAGAGAGATAGAAACATCAATGTGAGAGAGAAACATCACTCAGCTGCCTCTTGCATGCCCCCTACTGGGGATCAAGCCCTGAACCTGGGCATGTGCCCTGACCCAGAATCAAACTGGGACCAGGCCAGGAATCAGTCCATGGGACGACGCTCAATCCACTGAGCCACACTTGCTGGGGTAGAATCAAAATTTATTAATCAGACAGATTGTTCTCAGAGTTTACTTTGATTTCCATGGAGAAGTCCTCAAATTTTAAAGCATGGAAATAGATGTGTGTGAAGAAGATACCATGTTCTTATAAATAATCTGTCACTATGGGTTTTTTTTTAAAAATGTTTTTATTGATTTTAGAGAGAAAGGAAGGGAGAGGGAGAAAGAGAAAGAAACATCAATGAAAGAGAACATTAGTTGGCCACCTCCTGCATGCTACCTACTGGGGACTGAGCCCACAACCCGGGCATGTGCCCTGATGGGGAATCGAACCAGTGACCTCTTGGTGCATAGGTCATCACTCAACCACTGACACACACCAGCTGGGCTATGCTTGTTTTTTTTTTTCCCAATAATACTACCCCTTTTACTTATTGTTTTTCTTTATTAATATTAGAGAGAAGAAGGGAGAGGGAGAAATAGAAATATTGATGAGAGAGAACATCGATTGGCTGCCTCCTGGATGCCCCCCACTGGGGATGGGGCCCACAACCTGGGCATGTGCCCTGACCACGTATCGAACCGATGACCTTTTGGTGCATGGATCGATGCTCAACCACTGAGCCACACTGGCCAGGGCCCCTTTAACTTATTTAAAGGCATGATAATAAGCACAACATCATTTTGATGAATTTTCCTTTTTGCTCCATCAGTGATACTTGGCACTGAAACTTCGAACAAATATGAAATTAAAAACAGCTTGGGACAAAGAATATACTTTGCCGTGGAAGAAAGTGTGTGCTTCAATCGTACTTTCTGTTCCACCCTGCGGTCTTGCACCCTGAGGGTCACGGATAACTCCGGCAGAGAGGTGATCACAGTCAACAGGCCCTTGAGGTGTAACAGCTGCTGGTGCCCTTGCTACCTACAAGAGGTCAGTGGCTGGCTCTGGTGTGCTTTCTTCCCTACCTCTGGAAAGATTAGCAATTATTTCTTTAATAAATGGCATTCATGTGGAACTATGGGGCAATTAACCTTTCCATTGTTTGAATTAATACATCACTCTTTTAGAATCAGAACAGCTTGAAGATTTGATAATTCACTATTTTTTTTTCCTTTCCAACCAAAAATGATAGTGGCTTCTGTGATGTTAATTGGTAAAGACAGCTCATGCATCATGTAAATGAGACATATCTTCCTGAAATGTGTTATTAGCATGTAATTGTAATATCTACGAGTTCCACCATTAAGCAAATTTACCCTTTGTCCCTTTGTCTTCTCCAACTGTAGCAAAGTTCGGGAAATGCTAAGTGACACTGAACTCTACTGAGGTGTTCTCTCTTGGTTAAGTAATATTATTTAGTACAGAATGTCCCATGGCATTCACTCATGTGTGACAAACATCAGGTTTGGAAAAGACTACGTTATTGTTCTAGAGGAAATTATTCAGTGATTGTATTTTAATATATAATAGATTCCATTGCTATTTTATGAACCTGTAATAATAACTTTCATTTACTTAATGCAGGTAGCAAAGAACATTTACTGACTTTGAGATCTTCCATACCATTACCTCTCCATGTGCTGGAAAGAATAGGTTTTACTCTCCACATTTTGCAGTTGAGGAAACTAGTGCTTAGAAAGGGGAGGTGACCCCCATGATCACATATCTAGAAAGTATCATAAATGGGACTTGATCCAGGTGTCTTTATTCAAGCCTAAGCATCTCTATGAAGGACCTGTGTTTATGTACTTGACTTAGCACAATGGAAGTAAATATCAACGAAAGGAGGATAATTAGGGATTTTTTTCTCTAAGTCTTTAACTATTTATAGCTAATCACCTGGTTAAGTGATAAGGTAGCTAAGGTACTCATACATGGAGCCCAAGAATTTCCATCCTCCTACTGAGGGTATCTGAGATCTAATATGCCTCAACATGGTATAGTCAGTATAATCACAATATATGCCCATTTTAATATTTCTGATATAGATGTTTTATTTTTACATAGTTAGTATCACATAAATTAAACATAGGATGTATCTTTTTTTTTTAATCCTCAACTGAGGATATTTTCCCATTTATCTTTAGATAGAGTGAGAGGGAGATAGTGAGGGAGAGAGAGAGATAAAGAGAGAAACATCAATGTGAGAGAAACATATCAATCAGTTGCCTCCCACACGACTCCTACCAGGGCTGGGGACCAAGGCACTTGCCGAGGTATTTGCCTTTGACCAGAATTGAACCCACAACCCTTTGGTCCGTGGGCCAATGCTCTACCCATCGAGCCAAAGTGGCCAGGGCAAACATAAGATGTATCTTGACACCCATTAATAATTTTAAAATTTTGGTCATAATCAAACCAATAACTTAAAAAGTGATCCCAGAACAATTCTATGCAATTCTAAGCAGTTATGCCAAAATCATCTAACTCTATGCAAAAACACTATAGACATATATGTAAGACTATGACTATGAACTTAATAAATAAGAAAAGGCAAAATGAAATCTGATGCTGGATTTAAAAGCAAACAATTTTCATTATTTGCTCCTACTTCCAGCTTATTTTACAAAGGATTTGATTTGGCCACATAAACCTACTGAACTACATTATGATGGGAAATAAAGAAAACAGAATTAAGGGTAAAATACTAAAGTAAAGTTTGAAAAGCAATAATTGCTAGTCTTTACCATTTCAGGAGAAATTAAACAGTGATCATATTGGTGAATAATAACTGAACTCTGCAGAAGCATTTCCTTTTCATAGAGACCCAAGTAGCTGGAAGTTGACAATCTGAAGAGAAAAAAAATTATGAATACTAATAATTGATAAGAGGATTAAAAATAGATGTGTGCTATAGCATCAACTGAAAGGGAGTTCAGATTTGGTTCCTCATGAGAAACAGTTTACCATGCACGACCAACTGTTGTAGTTGGAACAAAAATGTCAAAGAAGCCAGTATCCCAGAGTCAAAACAGAGTTCTGGGATATGTTCTCTTTGGGAAAGTAACATCAAAGACATAGACTTTTAGTGCATAGTCCCAAACATATTCTGTACGATAACTTTTTTGGTTTCTATAAAATATGAAAATAACACTGGTTTGCTTTCTTAGAAGCGGATTATTTAAAATGATTTGTAGCCCTGGCTGGTTTGGCTCAGCTGTTAGAACGTCAGCCCCCTGGACCAAAGGGTCACAGTCTCAGTTCCTGGTCAAGGGCACATACCTTGGTTGCAGGTTTGATCACTGGCCCCTGTTGGGATCGTCTGTGAAGCAGCCAGTCATTGTGTCTCTCTCACATCAATGTTTCTCTCTCTCTCTCTCTCTCCTTCCCTCCCTCCCTCCCTTCCACTCTATTTAAAAGTCAATGGAGAAATATCTTTCGGTGAGGATTTAAAAATTTTTTTTAATGTTTTGTAGAATATGAAAATAACTTCATAAAAGTATATTGTTTAGAAGTAAATTTACATTATAATAAAATTAAAATACAATAACCTTAGAAAATCTTATTTTATTATTATCTCTTCTTACAGTTAGAAATCCAAGCCCCTCCTGGTACTATAGTTGGTTATGTTGCACAGAAGTGGGACCCCTTTCTACCTAAATTCACAATCCAAAATGCAGACAGAGAAGATATTTTGAAAATTGTTGGTCCTTGCGCAACATGTGGCTGTTTTGGCGATGTGGATTTTGAGGTATGATTGACAAAATAAAGAAAGTTTTCACTTAGGTCCTGATTTTTTGCAACATAATTCAATTCTTTTAAATGTTCAAATCATGAAATAACTCCAGAATAAATTTAGAAAATAATGTATATGTAAAATAATGTAATAAAAAATGATATATCCCTATAGTAGCTCATAATTTTAGAAACACTAAGGAATTTTTAAAACATATTACAAAACTCTGATGTATGTGGAAGTCTAACACCCACAGTATAAAGCAAATATATAGAGTTTAGAATCACATAAACTCCATCTTCTTTTCTGTAGCCCTGCTGGTAACGTACCCAGGTTAGATCTCTCCTCAGAAGCACGTTCCTTTATTTATTTATTTATTTATTTATTTATTTATTTATTTAATTTTATTTTATTTTTGTTACAGATGTTTCTCCTTTTTTACCCCATTGACACCCTCCTCCCCACCCCCCACCCCCCGCCCTGTCCCCGGCTTTGTTGTCCATGTCCATTGGTTGTGCGTACATGCATATAAGTTCTGTGGTTTATCTCTTCCCACCCTCCACCACCACCTCTTCTGAGGGATGTCAGTCTGTACCCTACTTCCGTGTTTCTGGGTCTATCCTATTCCTCAGACTGTTATATTCATTATATTTCATATATAGGTGAGATCATGTAGTATTTGTCTTTTTCTGCTTGGCTTGTTTCACTTAGGATAATACTTTCCAGGTCCCTCCATGTCGTCTCAAAGGATAAGAGATCTTTCTTTCTTACAGCTGCATAGTACTCCATTGTGTACAAGTACCACGACTTTTTTATCCATTCGTCTACTGATGGACACTTGGGCTGTTTCCAGATCTTAGCTATTGTAAATGGTGCTGCTATGAACATGGGGGTACATACATTCTTTCTGATTGGTGTTTCAGGCTTCTTAGGGTGTATTCCTAGAAGTGGAACCACTGGGTCAAATGGAAGTTCAATTTTTAATTTTTTGAGGAAACACCATATTGTTTCCCACAGTGGCTGCACCAGTCTGCATTCCCACCAGCAGTGTACTCGAGTCCCCTTTTCTCCACACACTCGCCAACACTTGTTGTTTGATGATTTGTTGATGGCGGCCATTCTGACAGGTGTGAGGTGATCCTCATTGTTGTTTTAATTTGCATCTCTCTCATGATTAGTGATGTTGAGCATTTCTGACACAGAAGCACGTTCTTTTAAAATACCACTAATTTAAAAGTTACGTTGGTAAGACTTGCTAACTTTGTTTTGTAAAACAATCTACTCTCACATAAATGTGTTCGTGTAAATTGAATGTTAAAAAACAGTAAGTAGTGCCCTGGCCAGTTTGGCTCAGCGGTTGGAGCGTCGGCCTGCGGTACAGAGAGACCCAGGTTCGGTTCCCGCTAAGGGCACGTACCTCGGTTGCAGTTTGTCCCCGGCCCTGGTTGGTCGTGCGGGTGGCAGCCACTCGATGTGTCCCTTCACATCGAAGTTTCTCTCTCTCTCTCTTCCTCTCTCTCCCTCCCGCTCTATCTGAACAAAAAATGTCCTCAGGTGAGGATTAAAAAAAAAAAAAAAAAGTAAGTAGTTGCATATTTAATCTGTGTCAATATGAACTATCATGACAGCTTTTCCTAGAAGTACATCTTAGGCAGAGGAAATGGTCTGATTTAAATTGTATGTTTACAGAGACATGGCAAGGAGTATGGTTCAGACTGACAGACCTCAGAGGAGAGGGATGGGAGGAGAAGGATGAGATAAATCAAACAACTTATATGCATGGATTCGTAACCAATGGACATAAGCAACAAAGCTGGGAGTCGGGGGGGTGGACAGGAAGAGGGTATCTGGGGGGGAGAAACATCTGTAACAAAAATAAATTAATAAAAATTGCAAAAAATATAAATTGCATATTTATTTTTCATTCATTCATTCATTTATTCATGTATATCACCTGGGACATTCAGTTTGTGGCCTCAGGGAACAGCATTCACATAGAGTACAATGTAAGTGTTGTGAAATGATATGTCCTAACTCCACCCTATTTAAAAAGACTTGGCATGGCTGTCCTAAGAGTAAAATATAAAATATGCATGCCATATGATCAAGAAGAACTTAGACGTAAGAGTTTTAGTATTCCCGGTAAAGGGATGTCCTAAGTAACTTTCTCTACTTTCCGAAATCTTCTACTGACATACTGAAAGTGAAAATTTATACTGAATCACTTTCAGCCTTTGAAGGAGAAACAGGCAGGCAAATGACGAGCTGATAAAGTCCCAGTGTGAGCTCCTTCTGGCTGAGGAGAACTATAGGATTTTTATGTCAAATTAGCCGGAAATCCCTGTGTGGTATATTAGGGCATTTAATGCACAAATAGGACTTATGGTTAGTCACAAAGGAATTATCTAGCAAATGTCTAAGTATAATATAAAAATGAGATTAAGCAATGCCTAATACTATTTAAATGTGTTTGTAATAACATCAGCAATAAATTGTAGAAGTTAACAAATTGTACCTAGAAGTGAAACTAATGTCTTTAAAATCTTTTTCTAACATCTTTTTTCTTTTTTTTTCAATTATGAATTGAGGTTTAAAATCTCCACCTCCAGTAAAGAAATGACCTTGTGGTTAGACCACATAATTGAGACCAGTACCTGCTGCCACCTTGTGGTCAGCTGGCCTTAATTATGGGTTGCAATTATATTCTCCATCTGTATACCAAAAAGAAAAAATAGTAATGATGATGGATTAGAAAACTGTCAGAAAAGCAAAATTCCTGAAGAGTGAACTGGAAAGTTAAATCTACAAACATGTTTATATAAAGGAATGAAGAACATCATGCTGTCATTTAGAGAAGATGGATACAATAATTTCTCTCTCTCGAGAAATAAACACATGAAGAAAGATAAAACCGTCTGTTTCCCTTTCAAATCTAAAACCTCTTGTTTTCTTCTTAAAGGTGAAGACCATTAATGAAAAGCTGACAATCGGGAAGATTTCAAAATACTGGTCCGGGTTTGTGAACAACGTTTTCACCAACGCTGACAACTTCGGGATCCACGTGCCCGCGGACTTAGACGTGACCGTCAAGGCAGCAATGATCGGGGCTTGTTTCCTCTTCGTAAGTAGGGTCCCAACGAGTGTGGCTGACTTTTTCTCTCCTTTTCAGTCGTCAATTACAAACACGCAGCGTTTACCCCAAAGACTGAGTTCTGCGGAGAAGGCTAGTCCAGGACCAGCCCCTCTCATTGCCTCAACACCTGACTTTCCCTTCTCTTTCAAGTTCAATTTAGTCTTTTTGCTTATTTTCACTTATAGTGAAAAAAATACGTAAACAAAAATATCCCAGTTATTTACCCTGTATAAGGTTCAGGAGAGTCGCCTTGCTCAACAATGAGCGAGGTGATGTTCAGAATGCGAGAAGAGTCTTTTTCGTGCCCTTTTGATATGCATACAGATACAGGTGGTGACAGAGATGGGCTAATATGTACCAGTTTCCACATTACAAAGATAGTATGTCTTTGTCCTTTCTTTCCAACTCCCAGCTTCATTAAAAACATTTCTTCTTCGGTGTGGAGGTTGGTGATAGAAGAAGTTAATAACACCTGTGCCAAAGGACTGGCGGTCTCCAGTTCCCCATGTCCCCCCAGTATCTCCCTCACTGCCCAGTATTTTCAATGCATTCATAAAAACTCATGGAATTTCAAAATAAACCTGCATTCCACCTCTCATATTTTGTTGTTGTTTAGGATCCTAAATCTTATGGTTATATCAATGTGCGCTGCGGTGAGGAAAATAATAAGCCCTATTTACTCAGTGTCTTGTAAAGACACTTGGAAAATGTATAAACTAAAAATAACTCCCTAGGAACATTAATGATGATTCTTAGAGAATGGATCATTTTAAATATATATATATATTTAATATATATATATTTTTTAATATATATATTTAATATGTGTAAATATATATAATATATAAATTTAAATATATATATACACATAGAGAGAGAGAGAGAGATTATTTCTTCAGAAATTTAAGAACAATTACTTTAACTTATCGATTTCCTACCATTGGTAGAAGGGAGAATTTTTATACATAGAGTACTAGGTTTTTATCCTTACTAAGTAGTCACATTCGATTCCCATTTTCTTCTACAAATATAACCAATTTTAGTCGATCTTGCCTGTCACCCAGTATTTCTTTCATCACCTGTTCTCCTCTACCTACTTGAGGGGCTACTTCCTGCTCACCTTTTCCATTCGGGTCATTCTGCACTTCAACAACAATCTCTCCAAGTACACACATGTATCTGCATATACACAACACAAACACACACACCCTCTTCCCCAAACTTTAATTTAGCCTTATTGATAATCCCTATACTTAATGTTTATTTCTAAAAAGAGGTCATCATGGATCTGTCTTACTCACCTCTTATATGTAACAGGCTGATGGCAAACATGTACTGTCAGCAAATCTCTACAGACGATAAGTTGGAGAAGCACTGATCTACATAATATCCCATCATCTGGAAGATAACTTTTGACTCCAGTGTCTGAATGAGAATCATACTCACAGAGAATATCTAATAGCTCCCATCCATTTTTTTTTTCCTTTTTACCATAATATTATAAAACATTTGCACTTTTTTGCCAACAGAGCTTTTAAAACAATTTCTCACCTGTAGTATCAACATAATTTACTGACCTCTAAGAATAAATTAATAGGAAGCATTATGTTTTTAAATTTTAATCACCTTGTGATTAAATTTAATAAAATTACATTTAATACTTTGTTGTAAGAGACCTTTAAGAAGCTGTTAGACCTGGCCGGTGTGGCTCAGTAGTTGAGCATTGACCCATGCATCAAGAGGTCGCTGGTTCAATTCCCAGTCAGGGCACATGCCCAGGTTGTGGGCCTGATCCCCAGTGGGGACATGCAGGAGGTGGCCCATCGATGTTCTCTCTCATCAATGTTTCTATCTCTTCTTCTTACTTCCTTTCTCTAAAATCAATAAAGAAAAGAATTTTTTTTTTAAAAAAAGAAGCTGTAAATGTGAGGACATTCTCTGATGTAACAGCAAAATTCATAAATACATCTTAATTTTTGTTCTTCTATGATTCAAGGCTACCTCGCCACAACCCATAGCTCTGACCTTGAGCTTCCAAAGTTCTCTCTGGTATAGTTTTCAGTACTTCCTCTGATGACTACCTAGTTACCGACTACAGAGTCCATGATGACATATCTAATTCTTGTTCAAAGGTCAGTGTCTGTTACAACTTCCTGCCCCGAACCAAGACAATCCAATTCTTCAGTCTTGATCACCCAAGTTTTGATTGATGATGCCATGCTGATTCACGTAAGGTTTTCAAGTCGCTTGTGCTCTGAAAATTAGACATACAAGTGTCATGAAGCTTAAAAATTCTTTTTTATTTTCTTCCTGATAAATCACATGTTGCTGGGACACCACTGAGAAAGAGAATTGCTCTTTGTGATCAAAGATTACATGTGAGACTCTTGGTGATACATTGTTGCCTTTTTGTAAATTCACTCACACTCAGTTCACTTATTTTTAGGACTTTATGTTCTTTGAACATTCACTGGCTGGATTATGACAAGAAAGATGACAAAAACAATAAAATATGCATAACATATTCCAGTAAGTAGAAGATAAGTTTAAATTTTCTCTTTCTCTTGAAGACGTTGACATTTGATGCTAACTGTTTTTCATTTTCTTCTAGAAACCTTTGGGCTTGGATTTCATTTCTGAATGGTTTTTAATTTCTGAATGGTTTGAGTATTTACTCATTTGTAAGAATATGTTAATTATTATATTTAATAAAATATAGTATAATGAAGCAGTTATTTGGTTGTGCGTGAATGATAGCTAAAGCCAAGATTACTGGCCCTAGCACAAGGTTGTTTTGAGAGATTACCATTCTTTCTTTTTATTCTTTTGAAGTCACTGCATGGGTAAGCATGAAAGATGAGAATCAAGGCTTGCAGCATCACCGATGAAATTCAATGTTTAGAGAGCACTTTGAAGTTTTCCTGGTACCAAAGCTGGTTACTAATCAAAAGAACTAGATTTCTAAAATATATTTTCATAAGTAGCCTTTTTTTTTTTTACTTTATTTATTAATCTTGTTATTGTGGTAAGACATTTTTACTTTATATTGGAAAAGCTAAAAGTTGGTTAAATATGTTTAAAGATGAGAAGGAAGATACATGAAATCAATTGGTTCCAGAGGCAAAGGGCACGCTTACATTCCATAAGGAAGCTAATATTTGCAAACCAAAGAATGCTTTAAAAACATACCCATGATAGAGAATTAAATATGCATACAAATAGACTTCTAAGTCAGTAAAAGCAGTGGTATAAAGCAGAAACTTTATCTATTTGCAGTGAAATTTCAGTTGAAATAAAAGGATCTAAGGCTCTGAAAAATGGACAACTTGGGGGCTTAAAAATGAACATACAGCCTCAATATATGAGGCAAAGGCAGAAGTCAAAGATCACGCTTAGTTCAGTTAACCGATGCCTTGCACTTGAATGTTTTGAGCCCTCCAGATGACAATGTCTAGTTACCCCCACATTTCCAAAAGCCACACAAGAAGAATGTCTCTTTTTTATGAATGATGATAGTTCTTCTCTCCTTTTGAGAATAGGGAAACGGATTTGTTTAACAAAAGGACCCGGTAGCCATTTAGACTCGACTTTAGAATTACACAAATACCACCCAAATTTCCACATATGAAGGTGTTTAGAGGAACCCCAGGCATATTCCCCCATTTAGTAAATGGAATGTGTTCCAAGCTTCTGTTATTAACAAAACACCCAAAATGATCTTGCTTCAAAATCACACACAGCCTTTCCCCTCTCCATCCCATCCCTTCAACCAGTGTAACTGCCTTCACCTGTATTTGGGAGCAATGTCGCCAGGGGAGGGATCGCAAGTCCTGTAAATAATAGGCATCACCTGTGTGCTAGCCATTCATCTCTCGACTTACCATGTCGCCTTTTTGAACCTCTTCAGTTCTCCCATTTGCTACCTTGCAGAGCAGAGCTGAGCTGATGGTTAAGAGAGAAGCACAATATTTCTTCCAGTTCCCCTTATCTATTTTTACCATAGTGTATGGGATGTAGGGTCATTTATAACAAGCTAAAGGAGATGGCATTTTTTAAAGCTGCTGCATTTTAACTAATAAAATGGAAGAAAATAACTAACATTTCCTGGTGGGGTAACAGAATGATATGAAAACAAAGGAAAATCAGGCGGCATTGGAAGACCTGCTCAGGTCCCAAATGTTCTTCCTAAAGATACTCTGCCTTCACATCTTCTTGTTTTTTGCTTTTGAGATCTGAAATGAAAGGTTTTGCAGCTGATGTTGTAACAGCAGACGAAAACTTGCACAGTGAGGCCAGGACAGGAGAAAGAAAACCCCACTTATAAATGCTGCCTCTTAACATGCCACTCTCTTTTAGATTGTATAAAAGATTTCAATGAACCCTACAACTAGCGAAAAGAGCTACCTAACACCTAAAGATGAAGAGACTCCTCAAAGACAAAAATCCTTCTTAGAAGACACATTCCTAAATTGGCTATTTTAAGTAAAAAGCTGCTGTAGCATTTGCTCCTGAGCTGGCCAAATCCATTCTCCCCTTCCTCCGAAAAGGTGAAATTGACCTCTATGTGTCTTCTGTGTTCTACTTTCTCCTTTCCCAGCACACACGAATCCATGAGAGACTAGAGAGACTTTCACTTTTCAGTGAAATTTTCAAGGAAAAGAATGCAGCTACAATGAGGGGGGACCTCTGTGCATCATTACCTTCCCTCGGCCCACTACACTCTCAGAGCTCAGGGTCCCTGTTCACTCTGAGCTGTACTGGGGATACCTGACCAGATTCCAATGCCTCCCATTTACTAGGTCAGTCAGTCAGTCATTTGTTGTTAAAGTCATTTAATATTTATTGAGTCCCTTCTATATGACAACAATATAGTTCCCTTTCTTATGGAGCTTACAGTTAATTAAAGAGAGCTATTCATTCAATAACGACACAAACAAAAGTTGGATTTCAAACATGAGAAGTGTTTACAGGAACTTGACAAAGAGCTAAATAAGGTAGAGATATCGAACTTTGTCAGAGAATAAGGGAGTGATGGGGATTTCATGTATAAAAAATAAGTAGGAGTGGGAAGGAAGAATGTTGCAGACTGAGGTGCTGAGATTTGTAAAAGTTCTCTGACGGGGAAAGAGGAGACAGGATAGTGTCTTGTGACTTGAAGAAAGTCCAGGATTCAAGTTCAGACTGTGAGGAAGAATGTGGTACAAGATGAGGATGAACGGGGCCTGTAGGCAATGTTAAAGGTTTTAGACTCTGTCCTATTACCAAGCATCTGATAAAAGTTTATAAGGAGGGAGCTGGCTGGTTAAAGATAAGAACGGTGAGAGGGCTGGAGAGGATGCTCATGGACCAATTAGGTTACTAAAGTAGTTTAGGTGACAACTAATGGTAGCTTGGAATAATACGTCACTCATGTAAAGGAAGAGAAGTGAGAAAATGCAAGATATATTTAGGAGGTAAAATCACCATTACTTACAGCTTCAATTTCACTGGTTCTAATTTATCTATTCAGATTCTCTGATTCTTCCTAATTTAGATTTGGAAGATTGTATGTGTCTAGGAATTTACTCATTTCATCCAGATTGTGCAGTTTGTTGGCATATCATTGTCCATAATATTTTCTTGCAATCCTTTGTATTTCTTTGGAGTCAGTTGTTACTTCTCCTCTTCCATTTCTGATTTTATTTATTTGGGTCCTCTATCTTTTTTTTCTTTTTTTATGATTTTGGTTGAAGGTTTGTCTGTCTTTTTAAAGAACCAGCTCTTGGCTTCATTGATCATTTGTATTGGTTTTTTAGACTATATTTTGTTTATTTCTGCTCTGATCTTTATTATTTCTTTCCTTCTACATACTCTGGGCTTTGTTGTTCTTCTTCAAGTTCCTTTAAGTGTAAATTTAAATTGTTTATTTGAGCTTTTTTGTTTGTTTGTTTCTTGAGGTAGGCCTATAATGCTATGAATTTCCCTCTTAGAACTTTCCCTGTGTCGTATAGATTTGGGGTTGTTGTGTGTTTATTTTCATTTGTTTCAAGGTATCTTTTGATTTCTTCCTTGATCTCATTATTAACCCATTCATTATTTAGTAACATGTTATTTAGTTTCCATATCTTTGTGTGTTTTTCTGTTTTTTATCTTGTGATTGATTTTGTTTCATAGCAATATGGTCAGTGAAAATGCTTGATATGATTTCAATCTTTTTAGATTTATTTAGATTTGCTTTGTGTCCTAACTTGTGGTCTATCCTAGAAAACGTTCCATGGCACATGAAAAGAATGTATATTCTACTGCTTTGGGGTAAAATGCTCTGAAAATATTAATTAAGTCCATTTGATCTACTGTATCATTTAAGGCCAACATCTCCTTTTCGATATTCTGTCTGGAAGTCTATCTATTGATGTCAATGGGGTGTTAAAATTCCCTACTATGACTGTATTACTGTCAATCTCTCTCTTTATGTCCATATACATTTTGCTTTACAAATTTAGGTGCTCCTATATTGGGTGCATAAATATCTACAAGGTTTATATCCTCTTGTTGGATTGATATTTTTATCATTATGTACTACCCTTCTTTGTCTCTTACAATAACCTTGGTTTTAAATTCCATTTTTTCAGCTATAAATATTGCCACCCCAGCTTTTTTTTCCCTTTTGCTTGCATAAATTTTCTTTCTATCCCCTTAGTTTTAGTCTTTGTGTTCCATTCAGTCTGCAGTGGATCTCTTGAAGACAGCATATACATGGGTCTTGTTTTCTTATCCATTGAGCGACCAAATATTTTTTGATTGGAACATTGAAGCCATTTACATTTAAAGTAAATATTGATAGGTATGTATTTATTTCCATGTTATTTTTTTTTAACTAAGTTTCTATGTTTGTTTGTTTTTTTCTCCTCCTCCTCCTCCTCCTCCTCCTCCTCCTAGCAAGCCTTTTAACATTTCTTATAATACTGGTTTGGTGGTAACATACTCATTTAGCTTTTTATTGTTTGGGAAGCTCTTTATTTCTCCTTTAATTTTAAATGATAGCTTTGCTGGGGAAAGTATCCTGGGTTGTAGTTTCGTGCTTTTCATCACTTTGAATATTTCATGCCAACCCCTTCTGGTCTAAAATGTTTCTATTGAGAAATGAGCTGATAATCTTACAGGAGTTCACTTATAGGTAAATGATTGTCTTTTTCTTGTGGCTTTTAAAATTCTCTCTTTGTCTTTAACTTTTGCTATTTTATTATGATGTGTCTTAGTGTGGGCCTCTTAGTGTTCACCTTGTTTGGGACTCTCCAGGGACTTGTATGCCTTTTTCCTTCACCAAGCCAAGGAAGTTCTCAGTCATTATTTCTTCAGATATTTTCTCAATCCCTTGCTGTCTTTCTTCTCCTCTGGTACCCCTATCATGTTGATGTTGTTACTCATTATATTGTCCCAAAGGTCCCTTAAACTGTTATCATTTGTTAAATTTCTTTTTTTTACTGTTTTGTTTGGATTTTTTCC